CTTAAAGAATTATTTTATTTAACTTTATTTATTTATTTATTTAAATTAGACCAGAGAGGGACAGAGTGGGAGAAAGGGGAATGCTCTTACACTGCTGGTGGGAATGTAAATTGGTCCAGCCACTGTGGAGAACAATTAGGAGATCCTTCAAAAATTTACTAATAGAGGGGTCAGTGGGTGGCATGCTGGATAATGCACTGGAATTCCCACATGGCTGACCATGGTTTGAATCCCGGACCTGGCAGCTTGCACCCTCATACTCTCTCTCTTTCTCTGGCAAAAATTCATGTGAATAATAATAATAATAGGTAAACAAAATAAATAATTCTTTTCAAAAATCTACAAATAGAACTGCCATATGATCCAGCAATCCTACTCCTTGGTATCTACCCAAAGGACAAAAGAATACTTAATTGGAAAAGTGCTTGCACATTGATGTTTATTGTGGTACTATTCACAGTTGCTAAGTCATGGAACCAACCCAAATGCCTAAGAACAGGGGACCAGCAGTTAGCATAATGGCTGTGTCGCTGGACTCCCACGTAGTTGACCACGGTTTGTGTCCCGGATCTGGTGGCTTAAAACTCATGCCAGGCGCGTGTGTGTGGGTGCCCAAGATCCCGAGAGGCGAATGGAGGAGAAGGGATAGTGGCGTGGCCATCCCCCCTGGGGGGTGATTTCTCGCTTTCTGTCTCTCTGACTCACTCTGTCTGTCTGGCGAGCACACATGCCCTATAGCAAACAAACAAACAAACGAAACAAACAAACAAACAGATGAATGGATAGAATAACTGTAGCACATATACTCTATGAAATACTATTCAGCCATAAAAAAACAACAAAACCCTGGCTTTTGACAGGAAGTGAATGAATATGGAAGATTTACTGCTGAGTGAAGCAAGCCAGGCTATGAAGGAGAGCCATTGTATGTCCCCGCTTAATATACACCAAGTGTCCACAGTCTATGACTTAAACAGATTGACTAAAGGATACAGAAACACAGTATATGGATGTAAATACCAGATATAGTGTGTATAAACGAGTAGGGTCTGAGGAAGGACATTTAAAAGAAAAATAGGGAGGCAAAGCATAAATGGGACAAAGAAATGTGGTATTGAAGATAATTTATAGTTTTATCATTTGGACTAGGGAGAAATGTTCACCTGTTGAAATATTCATTTTGTAAGCTAACTAATGTGATTGAATGTATAAAAGAAAATGAAATTTAAAAATGTGAAAGAAAAAGAAAGTAAACTTAAGAACAAACTAAAAAAAATGTTGAGATGTAGAAATTGAATGAAATCAATCTAACAATGTCATAAACATTTTTGCTTTTAGTTTTTATATATTACGATATAAATATAAAAACTGAGGCCAGCTGGTAGTGTGGTGATTAAGGCTATTGTATCCCACATGGCTAATTGTTTGGTTAAAGTCCCAGACCAGTGGCTTGAAAAACTTGCTGGATGCATGTGTGCACATGCCCCAAGTCATAAGAAGATAATGAAGGAGAAGGGATTGTAGTATGGGCATCCTCCACTGGGGGAGTGATTTTTCACTTTTCTCTCTCTCTGGCAAGCACTCGTGCCCTCTAGCAAAAACGAGAAACTTTTATGATACTATAAAATCAAAACTCAAGCATGATATAAATGGTTTAAAGACAGAAATGATCAAAGGGAAAGCATTCTCATTAAAAAATAAACAATTCTAACATGAGATGAATCTTAATAAGAATCTTAAAAGATTTAGAAAATGCAATATAGTACAGAATATATAGATGAACTATAAATTGACACCATAAACCTTATTCACTTAGAATCTAGTAGTTAAAATTTATCGACAATTATTTTTATTTAGAAAGCAATTTCTGCTTTCATTAAAAAGTATACTATATGAACATAAATCAATAGAAATGCACAAAATATTATAAAAGTTGTTTTAAGCACTCTATATCTAAAAAAATTATTTGTAAATGAAATATTCAATTGATTTGTAAGAGCAGGAAACTTAAAGAAACTCCTTTAGGAAGTACTGTTAACTCTTTAGGAATAGAATCAAATACTAGTTCTTGAAAATATTCTATAAAAATATGAAACTACTACTAACTTTCTTAGTTTTCTTCCCATCATTCAGAACTTACGAGTACAAGTTCTTCAAACCCTTATGAAAAGGACTATAGACAAAAAGGATGAGTCTTTATACTTTCCTAGAGCCTTTTAAGATCTTTATAAACACTAAGCATTTAATTGCTTCTAATAACAATTGTAAAGACACTTACCAATGATCTTCCCATTTTTGTCACGCTTCACTCCTAGTTCTTTTTCTTCTTTTCTCCACAATTTAATTAAAAGACTAGCAGCTGTCTGATCCTTCTTCCCTCGCCACACATTGACATGAGCCGCAGTTTTGGGATTATCACAAAATTCAACCATTATTCCAAGTATTAGATTACAGAATCTTTTTTGGTTCAACTTTAGTTTAAAAAAGAAGGGGGGGAGGAGAAAAGGAAAAGTTGTAATAAATATTTAAAAAATCAGTGCCTTTAAAAAGAGAAAAAGAAGGAACCAGCAGTTAGCATAATGGCTATGTCGCTGGACTCCCACGTAGTCGACCGCGGTTTGCATCCCGGACCCGGTGGCTTAAAACTCACGCCAGGCACGTGCGCGTGCGTGCCCAAGATCCCGAGAGGAGAAGGGATTGTGGCGTGCCCATCCCCCCTGGGGGGTGATTTCTCACTTTCTGTCTCTATGTCTCTCTCTGTCTGTCTGGCGAGCGCACACGCCCTATAGCAAAAACTTCTCAAAAAAAAAAAAAAAAAGAGAAAAAAAGAACACTTATATTGTCAATGGTTTCTTCTAATCTTAGAGTCTAGGCATGGTTTGGGACAATCTCATTGAAATAAATACCCATGATAATTAGTATTTTTTCAAATATTAGAAATCAAAAAGAATTAATTCTGAAATAGTTCTAAACATATGTCATGACCAAAATGCAATTGATTTAGTTGAATTGGAAAAGGGAAATTTGTGAAAATAAGACGTTCATTTTCAAGTGAAACAAGATCAACAGTATGTAAATATTATAGTTTTGTGCTTTTTTAAAAAAATATTTTTGCCATAGGGCACAAGCACTCAAGAGAGATAGAGATCACAGGAAGGGAAAGAAATGTGATTATCCATCTACTCCTCCTACCCTCCCCCTAGGAGAGATGGCTACACTGCAATCCTTTCTCTTCCACTCTCTTCTTGGGAGTTTGGGCGTATACACACATGTGCCTAGTGTGTTTTTCAAGCCACTGGGGCCAGGACTCAAACCACTCAGTTGGCCATGCAGGACCCACCTTAACCATCATGCCACTTGCTGGCCCAAATTATGTGTTTTATTAAGGTTTATAAAGATTCATACTAGATATTAAGAGAATAACTATTAACAATTAAGAGAATAACTGGGCTGTCCTATAACCTAGTGGTTAAAGGAGGAAGATCCCACATGGCCAAGCACATGATTTGAACCCTAGCCCCGGTGGCTTGAAAAATACATTTGGTTGCATGTGCATGCTTGTGTGCCCCAAGTCCTGACAGTATAAAGAAATGGATGAGAAGGGGTTGTAGCATGACTTCATCCCATTGGGAGGTGCTTTCTCTTGTTCTGTCTCTCTCTGGGGAATGCATATAGTCTCTAGCAATTAAAAAAAAAAAAAAGGAGAGGGAATAACTGAGAATAACTTCCTTGTGTAACTGCAAGTGATTGCCACACATGAAAATAAATGAGATGTGATTTTTTCTACACTCACACTCATAAAAATATGCTGTAATAAAGCATACTTCATTTTGCTACAAGTAGTTTTCATAAAACCAAAACTGAGGTATAGAAAATGCCATCCAGACCAATGTGGATTATTTTTTTGTTAATGCTTATACTGCTAATAGATTATAGTAAAGGAAACAGGTACCCTTTTGTTTGAATTAAAAACACTGTTTCCTTTATAAAATGAAAAATAGTATTACCTGCAAAGAATTATTATGAATTTTGTGGGACTGCTTGACATATAAACAATCAATAATATTTAACCATTGCTAGCCAATTTCCTTTTATTTATTTTTTATTTTAATTTTTTTGTTTGTTTTAAAATTTTTTTAGAGAGAGGTTTTTGCTATAGGGTGCCTGGGCTGACTGGACAGACAGAGAGACAGAAAGTGAGAAATCACTTCCCAAGGGGATGGCCACACGGCAATCCCTTCTCTTCCATTTTCCTCTTGTGATTTTGGGCACACATGTACACATGCCCAGTGTGAGTTTTTTAAGCTGCAGGGTCTGGAATTTGAACCACAGTTGACTACATGGGAGTTCAGCAACATAATCATTATGCCATCTGCTGGTCCCAATTTTCTTTTTTTTTTTTTTGGAGAGGTTTTTGCTATAGGGCGTGTGCGCTTGCCAGACAGACAGAGAGAAACAGAGAGACAGAAAGCGAGAAATCACCCCCCAGGGGGGATGGCCATGCTGCAATCCCTTCTCCTCCATTATCCTCTCGGGATCTTGTGCACGCACGCACATGCGCCCAGCGTGAGTTTAAGCCACCGGGTCTGGGACTCGAACCGTGGTCGACTAGGTGAGAGTCCAGCGACATAGCTATTACGCTAACTGCTGTCCCCCAATTTTCATTTTTTTAAGACAGGGCCTATGTTGAGATTTTTCTGCCTCAGCCTCTTGATTAGCTTGGATTACAAACTCAGGCCTCCTATGTGGCTTCAGGTTGGTGTGTCGTGGCAGCAATCTATACTTATACTCTGTGGCCAGGCCCATTATAAGCAACTATTATAATTGCACACCTACTGAATACATATTTTAATGTATTAAGCAGACCCTTCAACAGAGTGTGTTAAAATTTTTTTTAAGAATTATTTTATTTAAATTTATTTATTTTTAATTTGACCAGAGAGGGACTAGGGACTGAGTGAGTGAATGAGTGAAAGTGAGAGTGAGAGTGAGAGTGAGAGAGAGAGAGAGAGAGAGAGAGAGAGAGAGAGAGGAAAGTAAGAAAGCCAGCCACTAGGTCCGGGATTCGAATCGTGGTTGGCCACGCGGGAGTCCAGTGCCCTTAATCACCATGCCACTTCCAGACTCCTAAAAAAATTTTTTTGAGAGAGGTTTTTGCTATAAGGCATGTGCACTCATCAGAGAGACAGGGACAGAAAGTGAAAAATCATCCCCCCAGGGGGGATAACCATGCTGTAATCCCTTCTCCTCCCTTCTCCTCTTGGAATCTTGGGCACACACGCACACGTGCCTGGCATGAGTTTTAAGCTGCCACGGTTGGTTATGTGGGAGTCCAGTGATGTAACCATTAGGCCATTTGCTGGTCCCAGAGTGAGTTTATTTTATTTCTTCACTTTACTTTCAGGAGAAAGTGGCAAAAGTCAAAGATAGAGATTGATGTGAAAACTTTACTAAAGAATAATATTTGAATAACAAGAAAAAAATTTGTAATTAACTTATTTAATTCAATCTACAGTAAACATGAATTAATAACAGTCACAGAACAGCAAACAAATAGCAGTATTATGTGTCAGGCACTATTTTAACTAATATAAGTATGTACATTTGTATGCATGTGCACTCATGAGCACGTGCACACATCACACACCAACACTTGTTTAATTCTTCCAACACTATGACAGGGTATATACTTTTGTTATCCCTGTTTCACAAATGAAGAAATTGAAAACAGAGATATTAACTAATTTTCTTTTAGGGAAGTGAAGAGACACAAATAATTTGAGTGCCTTTGCTCACTCAAAGTAGGTTATGCTAGTAATAAAATCAATAATGGTGGCAATTATAGATGGCTAGAATTCTGTGTAAGAACATCACTCAAAGCCGTTTTTCTTGTCCCTATAAAACCAGCTGACATGGTTTGACTTTTGTGTGAGCATATCTCTCAAAGCTTATTAAAATTTCTTTCTTTTTTCATGACAGAGAGAGATAGACACACAGGGACAAGTATTCTTTTCTTTTTTAAAAATAATTATCTTATTGAAATAAATTTATTTATTTATTTATTTTAATTTGACCAGAGAAAGACAGAGAGCGAGAGAGGGAGAGAGTGAGAGAGAGAAAGCAAGTCGCCAGGTCTGGACTCAAATTACGGTCGGCCATCTGGGATTCCAGTGCCCTTCACCATGCCACCTGCTGGCCCCTGGGACAAGTATTCTTGACAGGATCCTGCCATACCATCCATGATTCTCTGACCAATCAGGATCAAGGATGTACTCATAAGTGTGCCCAACATGTTCAGGTCTACTTATATGAACCTTAGGTCTCCCCATATGGCCTCAGTATTGCACAGTGATGTCCTATGACCTGTGTCACCATAACCTGGCCTCAGTTTTACTGAAACAAAATTATACTTTTCCTCGTATTATGTTACCTTTGCACTCCATTTAGGACTGAGGCTAGTTAGGCAGTTATATTCTTCAAGTTGCTAGATGGAGACTGTCTTTACTAGAAGGCGTAGTATGTTCATTC